GAGAAACTACTGTTATTCTGCAAAATGGACATAGCATTACACCAACTCCTAATGACAAATTGTTATACTTGTAGATTAGTGCAGCTCTCAAACATTATCAGAGAAGCGTCTACTTTTAAAAGTAGATGGAGCATAATTCAGAGACACAAAACTGGTCAATGTGCAGAGAGTGAGAGACTGTGGAGTCCTCATTCCTAAATGGTGCATCTATATTACACCCCTCATCCCAAGGCTCAGGGATCACTGCAGAAACGGGCATAGAAAGATTTAACAGCCAGAGGAGGTGGATGAACACAAGGACATGTGTTTTACACACCTGAGGGCAGTTTCACATATGAACCCACAGTTCCTGTTCCAGTGTACATAAGACCTGGCCAAGCCCAAACTAAACCAATAAAAGAAAATAAAAAATAAAAAAAGCAAAGTCCCATCACTTTCTCTAGAGATATTGGCACTGATAGCTGCTGAAAGAGGAACTGCCAGTGCTCTTCACCTGTAGCCCCTTGTAGGTTGCCATGCTTCAGTAGACGGCCCCACAGGCAAGTGTATACGGGCAGCACAAATTGGACTTGATGGGCTTAAAAAGGAAAATGAGGATACCAAGTTGGGTGGGTAAGGAAGGAGGGTGGATTTGGGAGGAACTGGTTGAAGCAGGATAACAATCATAATTAATTGTATGAAAATCTCAAAGAACTAATAGAAATATTTTTAAAAATGATATAATTCCATTAAAAAATAGAGGGGGCAAGAGAGAGAAGAGAGAGTACTAGGAGCAGAGGACTAGGGTCGGGGAGGTCTTTAAGTCTGAGATGGGGATTTAAGTGAAGGAGACATGTATTTGAGGGTCTTCTGTGCCTCACATCATACCACAGAGGGAAGGAAAAGTGAAGCAATGATTCTCTGATTTGGTGCTTCTCAGTTTCACACAGCACTAACTCACAGCTATCTGATAGTTCGAGTCCAAGTGCCCACATTTAAATCTTGTTAGTACTGAAAATACTGTAATATTTTACTTTTCAAATTTCAGAACTTAAGCAGCGCATTAGTCAATATTATTCCATTATTCCTACCTTTCGCACAGCTCAGCTGTATTTTGACACCCCTACCATTACTGGGTGATAGCCTGTAGAAAGGATTTTAGGGTTTAATTTTTTAATCTTCCAACAGTTTATTAGAAAAATGTAGACATTTAAAACAGCCCCCACTGTCATGAACATAAATTGAGACTTTTTTAAAAATCTAAATTAGGGCATTCACTAATTTTAGCTAAGACACCCTGGACCATTGACAAATGGTCACTTAAGTACAATGATGTGAAGTATCCTTCTTTTTCGAAAAACAAAACTTTAGTGGAACAATCCTGAAGGATACATCAGAGGAATGGCAAGTTTTCAGTTTAAGATAGCAACCAATTTGTTTCAGGCAGTTTAAAGTCCATATTCTAGAATCTAAAATTTAATTATTTTTTCCTAATCTGAGAACTTCCTATCGTGTCAGTAACTATGCTATGAAGTGAAGGAAACATACGTGAAATGTTTTCACTTATCACAACTCTTGTATCAATTGCCTAGAATCTCAACAGCTTCATTAAGTCTGGGAAATGTTCATGCATAGGATATTGCCTTAGCTGACATAAAATTGCCCCCTAAAATTGCATATTATCAATCTTTGGTGAAGCCTTAAAACAAACAGGTTGAAAAAATAGTTTAAAGAAGGCAAATGGAGCCTTTAGAGCTATGAACTCCATAATTTTCTCAATTATCAAATCTTGCAGAGAAGTTATTTTTCTTTCTCAAAATCCAGGCAATGATAACCTTCCTTACTCCAGATCTGGCATTTTTCATCACTTGTCTTGTGAATCATCACCTACTCCATCTACTTCTGGTAAATCTGCAACCTCATCACCACCTATATGGCCCATCACCTTAGAGAACTGATCAAAATTAGACATGTCTTCATCTGAATCATCTTCCCAATCTTTCCAATTATTGAAATCCATGTTAAGCCAATTAAGTTTTGCCCTTTTCTTCATTAACCTAGGCCATAATGGGACAGATGCTCCTTTCTGCAAACAACATAAAATTGATCAGTCCAGGGGCTGGAGAGATGGCTAGTAGTTAAGAACACTAACTGTTCTTGCAGAAGACCCGGGTTTGAATCCTGGCACCCACATGGCAGCTAACTGTCCGTAACTCCAGTTCCAGGGGATCCGACAGTCTCTTCTGTCTTCCGTGGGCATTGCACAACATGGGTGCACTTACCTACATGTAGGCAGTACACACATACATATAAAATAAAAATAATAAAATATTTTAAAAATATTCTTAAAAGATTGATCAATCCATTCTTTTCTGCTTGAAAGCATTTGGATCAATACAATAAAAAAGATAAATTTCTTTTAAATGTTTATCAATTCCTCCAAGACAATTGAAAGTAAGTTGGATTTTTCAAAATTTACATTAACATCTTTACTGACTTCAACACATAATTCAATGAACACATAGTTCTTTGATTGTACCCCCTTGCAGAAGCAGGCTGCACAGTGAGGGACCAGGGAACAAGTGGGTGGTTCCTACTGCAGAGTCTGGGGCATTGTCTCTTTTCGCTCTGACAGAGGACTCAATGTCAATGCCCAGAATTCACGCTCAGTCCAGGAGAAGAGGAAAATGTCAGGTTTGCATTTGAAATCACACACCTCCCTATATGCTTCATTCACCTTTGTCAATATTTTGGGTTCCATGAGGCAGTGCTCTGGCCTTGTCCACAGGGGCTTTGTGCTACAGCACTAAGCACACAGATTCAATGCTGACTTCTTGGCTGGCATTCTTTCTCTTCCTATCACTGGTGTATAATCCTGGAGATAAAATTTAAATATTGTTTATTTTCTCATATATTGAATAGCAATATTAACACTGTCTTGTTGCAAAGATTCCTGTGAATATTCAAGTAAAAAAATTATGAGCAACAAGGTTATATAGTCAGTGTATTGGTGTAATTATTTCCATTGCTTGTAATTAAATACATCACAAAACATATTTATCAAATGATGACTGGCAGACTAAATAAGCATAGAATGAGCCATAGATGTCATGGATGCTCTCATTTTCAGATCACTCTGGGCTTAGATATTCTTGATTAAGATGGCAGATGAGGCAGCTGAAAAGGTTAGAGCACTTGCTGCCAAGCCTGAGGACTTGAGTTCCATCCCAGAATCCACATGGTGGAAGGGGAGAACTGATTCTTGTAAGATGTCCTCTGATTGCCACACGGGTGCTGTGGCGTGTGTGTGTGTGTGTGCGCGCGCGCGCGCACACATACATACACAAAAATAAAAACAATATATGCAGGCATGGAGGCACAAATCTGTACTCCCAGGACTCCGGAGTCTAATGCGAGATAATGCTGATACTAAACACAACAAAGCAAAGCAAAGAGAAACCAAGAAACAACGTATATTACAAGAAATGACTGCTACGAAGGAGAGAAGTTTTTAGATAAAAATGAGGGTTTTGTGGAATCTATGATGATGCTTCTGGGTGTTTTCACCTGATAAACAGCCCTTAAGATATTTCTAAGGGCTAGTTCTCCCTCATTGTAAATGAAAAGGATTTCATTCTAATCATTTAAGACTCCAGAGATTAAGACACTGAGTCTAAAAGACTTCAATTGACCTGCAAATATAAACTGTGTGTCACAGATGCAACTTAAGAAACTCAAATTCTCTGTGGCATGAAATCATGTATCATGTACCTGAGAGTGATGTCTTGTTCAGTGAATGATCATTTATGCAAGGGAAGCATGTTCGTAGACTACAGCCTATGGGCCAATCAGTAATATTAAAATGCAACAAAATTCCTTAATTTTTGTACATTTACTTTTTTCTCTTTAGAAGTATTTTAGAAGCTCTAATACTAATCACTGTGTTCCGAGTACCTTCATGGTTCAGAGCAGTATTATGTTGGAGAGGGTTGTAGTTTGGAACTGATAGCTTAAATCAGGTAAATTAAGCATGAATGTTTGCAGGTTCATAGCTTGGGAATGGTATCTTATGTAGGATAGACTAAGCAGGTATAGTAAGCGATACCAGTTAGATGTCCGTACGTGCACAATGTTCTGTTCACCCAGTGATGATGTCTAATGATGCATAGCTTAGAAGGCACCCTGTCATTAAGTGGTGTGTCACCATATGCTTATTACATTGACCTATGTTTCACAATGAGGCCACCCTGCCTAAAGCCACAGACCTAGGTCTAGAGATCCTTTACATAGATAAAGGTACTGTAAAGATAAGAGAAAAACAGATGTGAAATAAACAGACATGATTGTTTCTCTTTGTAAAAGCCTCTATCTCATTGTGTTTTTCATAGCAGCTCTGCATCTTGCTTCCCTAGTTGTTTGTTCTTACTACTGCAGCCTCTTAAATTTTTCATCATAGTTCAGTGGCATGTGTGAATCTTGCAGTGATGGCTTCTCACTTTATGATCAGATCAAAACATCACATTGTGCCCCCTAAGCATATGTAGCAATTCTCAATGAAAAGTCAAAAGAAAATGTAATAATTTTTAAAAGACCAAGTCTCTATCCTACTAATGCTATTTTGAAAATTATCTAAAACATAAAAGACTTGGGGCTAGAGAGATAGCTGAGCCATCAGGAGCAGTGACTGCTCTTGCAGAGAGCCCCAGTTCAGTTCACAGCATCCACATGTTGGCTAACAAATGTTTGTAACTCCAGCTATGGAGAATCTGACATGTTATTGCATGGAACGAGCATACTTAATACATGTAGGAAATACACTCATAAACATAAAATTAAAAAAAAACATTGAAAGACTTCTCAAAAATTATCAAAGAAATTAAAGAAACTTCCAGTATGATATTTCAAACTCAATCCTGGGTTCTAATATACAGAAACAAGCCACTATTTTCTGTTCCAACAAGTTTCATGAGGTAAAATACATTGTGATCTTTGTAACAAATCTTTATTGAACAAAAATAGGCCACTTTTTAGCACTTTTTATTTTTCACTTGACCAATAATATTATTTGTTAAAATCCAGATGGATACAGAGCTTAGGGACTTGAGACTATTCATGACTGAGATACTGTCCCCTACATACAAGCATCATGAACATTCTGCCAGCTCACTGTCATGCCTGCAATCATTATTTCCTACCTCTGATGCAGTTAGTGCTAATTATACTACCTGAGCTATAAAAATAAAGGATTCCATTGTAGCAAAGTTCACAAATTTAGTTTCTATCCAGGTATATGCTTTTTCCACCTAAAACAGTAAATGTCTACTCTACACAAAAGTATATGTAATGTAGTATATTTTATGAAACAGAATCAAGAGTAAAATAGCAGTATGATGCTAAGTAACTGTTCAGACAGAAAAATGCTAGCTAGTGGTATATTTAGCATTTAGATTTTTTTAAATTACAAAGACATCTGCATCTAAATGGGTGACTAACATCACTCTTCTAAGAACTTCTTAGACAGAAAGTTAGTGCTCATTAAGGGCTCACAAATCCTAGGCACAACTTCAATTGACATATTTTATGAACATAAAGTGAAAGAGAAGACTCAAAACAAATTTCTAATTTACAAATGAATACATCATATTTAATAAAATTTTAAATTTAATTAGTATTTTAAAATAGAGAAAAATTATTCTTATTGTTGGAGGACAGTTTTTATTTCATCAGAAACTATGGTAGGGTTTGAAGAAGAATCAATTTCCATTCTGTAAAATATAAATTGTATTTCTTCACTTAACATCCAAGTACCTGACAGAATCACACTTTGTATTGTCATTCCTTCAGTTAATGTCCTTACCATATGAGAATGGTCAGTGTCTCAACAGCAAACTTTCAAAAACAGCATTATTTGTAACACTGCTAGGTAAGAATGCAAGATGATGTCTATCTTGTAAAGAGCAACTGCATATAGAAGTAAATCAGTTTAAGCCTCTCTGATCCCATCTCAAAGCAAATAAAAGTCTAAGATAACTAGAGAGAGGAAAATAAAATTCATTCATCACAAATAGTCATAAATCATATTAAAGAACAACCTACTTAACAATTGAAAGGAAAAAGGAGTGCCTGTAATGTTCCTTTAAAATAGTTATAAAAATCTCCTGTTTTTTCATTTTAAATTTACTTTTATTTTCTGTATATGAGTGTTATATTTGCATGTGTGCAAGCACACCATGTGAATACAATGCTCACTGAGGTCAGAAGAGATAATCAAATTTCCTTTAACTGTAGTTATAGATAGTTGTTAGCAGTCGTTTGGGTACTGAGAAGTGAACTCTACTCATTTACTAAAGGATGCAGTGCTCTTAACTATGTAGTCATCTATTGAGTCCCAGGGTTGTTTTTTGTTTGTTTGTTTAATATAGAGGCAAATACTATAACAAATATCCTACAGAGAACCCTGTGGATGTGTAAGGTTATGTTAAAGAGGAAAATATATTATGATGATTCAAATTCACTACCTGCAACTCCCAGCACTTGGGAGGTGGAAGGAAGAGGATCAGAGGTTCAAATTCATACTCCGCTTTATAGTAATATTGAAGCCAGCACAGGCTACAAGTGATATTGTCTTAATAAATTGGACATCTGTAAATCTATTAAATTATTAAGAAACTGGGGATGGACTGAATTGGAATTCTGGATACTAATCATATATTATCTAGGCCAATTTACCTATGGATCACCTCTAGAATTACTTCTCTTAGGAAAGACCTGATGTGCAATAATACTGATAAAGAATGCATTCTACTTTTCAAGTAGAATACATAAACCATGATATTGCTTTGGTTGTTGATGATACTGTTCAATTCTTGAGCTCACTGCATATCTTTAAATATGCCACTGTGTCCACATATATGGTATTCTGAAAATTAAACACTTACACTTGTTACAGATTCATGTTAATCTATTTTGACTCTATGGGTGTTAATTGGGGCTTGACAGATTCATTCTCTTAAATCACGTGTTTAATATTTTCTGAATTCTCTAAATATATTTAAACAGAGGAATTAGGTATACTCAATGTGAACTCCCTGACTTCATTCACTTTTCTGTACCAAGTTGAGGCTGTAGTAGATTATTAATCAAGTACCCATTTTTCTTGATTATATGTTCAGTTTTTTTATTATGCCCATGTTGGCACTTTGAATAGTGAAAATCATATACTATCCTATCTTCAAGGTTTAAAAATTCATGAATTTGTTTTGCTTATTAAAGTTTACTGGTTTTAGATTCCTGGCTATTTGCATTCATCAAATACCCATTCTGAAATATCTGTGGCTACCTTGCATGCTATTCTTCCATAACTTTCTCCCCATTATACAATCCATTGTCAAACATTGGGAAAACGTTATGCTCGTGCTTTAGACACCCTGATTCCAAATTTGAAACAATATCACCAAATATACATAAAGTCTGTAAAATTTTAAGAATTTTGACAGAAATCCATCTTTCATACTCAAAAATCTACATGAACATCATATCACATATAAGTAATGGATTCTGATAAGTAACCTAATCAGGCAGAATTAACGATATAATTCATACAAAATGGTTATTACTTCAAATTGATGGGTACAACCATTAATGCCTAAAAATAATGTATTTGGGCAGCAGATTCCAACCTTTGAAGGAATGGTCTCAGCTGGCTACTGTGGAAGAAGGCCTTCAACATATGCCTGGGACTTGGATTCTAAAAGTACTGGGAACTTATGTTGATCATCCTCCTGTTGATATTAGCAACTAGACCATAAACATACTGTATACCCATCCAAAGACCAAGAAGAAAGTGTTATAGTTGCATTTTAGCTCAAAACAGACCAATTTATACTGGGTAACTTAGTGATTACATTTAAAGATGTATGACAGCAGAAATTCTCTTCATTAGATTATTGCTAATGTTCATAATTGGTCTGGAATCTTTTGGAAATTTTGTAGTCTATGTTACAAAGTTACATAAAATTTTGGAAAAGTTGCATGCTTTAGAAACATAGTATTTCCTTCAAGCATCTAGTTTAAAAACTGTGAAGACAATAGAAATTGAGAACTTTTGATGCTGTGTCTGTTGTTCACAGTATTTTTTCTTCTCTAACTGGATTTCCATCAAAGTTGGCTGATTGTTTCTCTGGGGCTTTTTTCTCCACACATTCAGAACAAGGAGTCACTTGCAATTTCTGCCAAACAATGCAGAAAAGACAATTAGATGAATAAAATAAGCATATTTTAGGTGAAAATACAAAGTCGCAAAAAGAAAACAGTGAAGATTCACATCTGGCTAAACAATTTCTAGAAAAATAACAGCCACAAACTAAACAAAAATGTTCAATAATTATTCTGCATGTCAATATATAAATGTATTTTGTCTAGAAAGAGCAAAATTCCTCAAAGAATACAATAAGAAAATTTGGCCAAAATATTAACATAGAGTAGCTTAACGCTTTGAAAAATTTATCATTTTAAAGTTTTTCATACATTATAGTTTGATAGTATTTAGACCCCTCATCCACAGCTCCTTCCATTCCCTCTTCCAATTCAATATGCTCCACTATATAAACAAAGCAGTCTGTAGAGTCTGATTTGTGGTCCATTGCTAACCTGTAATATTTTTGGTCAGTAATCAAACAGAATGCATGAGAATTCAGAATTAAGCTCTCCAGTTGATTATGCTGTGTATTTTTATGGGAATGAATTTTTCTTTCTAACCCTTCCACTCACCATTCATCCTTAATTTCCTTCATCCCATAAGAAATTATGTAGGGACACATGTCCTTGCACTACTTCTCCTTTTTTTAGGATCATTGTGGACCTGGGGTTACCAGAATCTACACTAACCTGTCTTTCTAAGTCTCCTTTCCTCCATGAGCTCAGCCCTGCCAAGACCCTTGGACTCTTCTGGGGCTTCTGAGTCTCACTTTGGCATATTTCCTTCCCACAAATCCTTATACCAGCCTTCTCTGCTCTATTAGGGCTTTTTTAGATGATGAGATCCAGGAGCTTACCCAGATATGCCCGGGTAAGTCTCCTTTCTCCCACCTCCCTGGTCCAGCATCACCGTCTCAACCCTGCCAAGACACTCTCATGCTACTGGGATCTGTTTCTAACCTTTGCATTTAGATTTGCTCACGTTTCTAGGATCCTTTCTCCCCAAGACGTGTGAATTCTCTCTGCCTAACCTATAAGCCAATCTGTTCACCAAGTAACCACCCAGCCCACCTTGCTATTTCCTGGCATTTCAATTCAAAATTTGTACCTCTCCTTAGTGTAACTGAGACCACTTCTTGCACCCTATTTTCATATCAACATTAAGTAGGTCCCCAACTGAACACCAAGCAGTAATCAGATGGACTACAGTCCAATAAGATGGGAAAAACAGGAAAAAAAGGTACAAATAACCAGACAACAAAGATGACAACATCTACCTATACCAAGAAACACCACCAATAACACAAGTCCATATGCTAAGGTTTCAACAAAAAATACAAACAACAGGAATAACCAAGATAATATTTCTCCTACAGATATTAGCAAATGAAGACTGTGAAAACATAAAGAATTTTATGAAATAACTAAAATGATTCAAGACATGAAACTAGAATTCAGTAAAGAAATAGAATCACTGAAGAAAAGTCAAATGGAAATAAAAGTTGAAATAATGGTTTCAGAGCGTGCTGGTTTGTGTGTGTGTGTGTGTGTGTGTGTGTGTGTGTGTGTGTGTGTGTATGACAAAAAAGTTAAACGAAAGTGGAGGAAATGTAACAATATCAGATCTTGAAGACAAACTTGGGGAAATGGTTTACTTAATCAAATAAAACGTCAAATCTAAAATAAACCAAGAAGTGAATATGAAGGGTTTCTGGGGCACTGTCAAAAGACCAACATATGAATCATATGAATAAGAGAAAGGAAACAAACCCAGGTCTCGGGCACAGAAAATATTATTATTAAAAATCAGCAGAAAATGGACCAAGTTTAAGGGAAGAGACACCTGTCAAGGTACAAGAGGCTTATGGAGCCCCAAGTAGACAGAGACAGAAAAGAAACTCACCACAGTAAATAATAGTCAAAAAAAAAAAAAAAATTGAAAGCTGTGTGAGAGAAAGAGCAAGTCATATGTAAATGCAGGCAAATCAGAATAACAGCTCACTTTTCAGTGGAGCTATGAAAGTCAGAAGAACATGGGATGAATTTCATATAAGTCATGATAAAACAGATTCCAATCCATACTACTATGTCCAGCAAAACTATCTGTTGTGATTAAACACTCCAAGAGGGCACAAAGAATAAATAAATAATCTCAGAACAGTCAACCAAAACAGATCTAAGAAAACAGTTCTTGGGGGCTGGAGTCATGGCTCAGTGGTTAAGAACACTAACAACTCTTGCAGAGGATCCAGCTTCGACTCCCAGCATCCACATGGTGACTAACAACCATCTGTAACTCCAGTTCCAGGGGATCTGATGCCTTCTTCTGACCTCCAAGGGCATTGCACAACACGGGTACACTTATACACATGCAGACAATACACTCATACAAACAAAAAATAAATCATAAATAAAATATTAAAAAAGAAAACAGTAATACAGTACCAAAATAACAGGGAGTAATAAACATTTTTCAATTAAAAACTCAATATTAATGGTCTCAGCTCACCAGAAGGAAGATACAGGCTAATTAAATTGGATTAGAAACCAGGACCATTGATTTGCAAACTCCTAGAAACACAATTCACTAATGATCAACAAAAGAGGGGAAAAAAAGATATTCCAAGAAAATGGAACTTAGAATCACTCATGTATATCTATACTACTATTAAAAAAATAGATTTCAACCTAAAACTATTCTGAAGAGAAAGGGAAGGTCACTTTGTGCTCATTAAAGGGAAATTATAAGAGGAAGTTACTATAACCCTAAACATACGCACCACCCACAGGGATATCAAATTTCATAAAAGTAAGATTATTAGATGTAAAATCAAACATTAACTATAACACTGTGATAGTGGGTGACTTTAAAACATCATGGCCACCAAAGGACAGGTTAACAAGACATACAATAAATAGAGAAAACCTGGAGTTAAATGATCTGCCAAACACCAAAAATACACTTTCCTCTCAGCAGCCCATGGGATTTCTCCAAAACTGACCATATATCAGTACATAAATCAAGTCTCTGCAAATTTATGAAAATTGAAATATCATTCAGCATTCTATCTGACTACAAAGGAGTAAAACTAGAGAAACAATGTAAAACTAGGAAAACTAGGAAACAATGCAAAGAATCACTGTAACAGAGTCACTTCCTTGAAAAGATGAGCATGACTGAAAAACCGTTAGCCAAATTAATCAAAGAAGAGTATAATGACCCAAAATTTACAACTCAGAGATCAAATTGGAAGCATTACAATCAGCCACTGAGAAAATTCAGAAATTCATGAAGACATACTTTAAAAATACATTCTACTAACCTAGAAAATCTAAGAGAAGTGCATGAAGTTTTAGATAGGTACTCCCCACCAACATTAAATCAAAATGTCATAAAAATTTAAGCAGACACGTAGCAACCCATGAGAGAGATGCAGCAATTTAAAATCCAAGACAAATGAGCCAAGTACAAAACAGATAAGGCACAGAATTTTACCAGACCTTCAAAGAAGAACTGATATCAATAATCCTCAAATTAGTCCATAAAATAGAAAATGAAATAACACTCCAGAATTCTTTTCATGAAGCGAATATTACCCTACTACCAAAACCATATGAAGATCCAACAGCAACAAAATGAAAATTACCGACCAATCTCTCTGATGAACATAGATGCAAAAATTCTCAATAAAATATTTTCAAACCTAATGTAATAGCATTTCAGAAACATTATCCACCATGATCAGGTTGGCTTCATCCCAGAAATGCAGGGATGGTTCTACATAAGTAAATCAATAAGTGTAATCTACTACTTAAACATACTCAAGAACAAACATCACAGAATAATGTAGAATGAAGTTGGCTGTGGATTTGTTATATATGGCTTTAATTATGTATATTGAACCATCCCTGCATCTCTGGGATAAAGCCGACTTGATCATGGTGGGTGATCTTCTTGATGTGTGTCTGTATGTGGTTTGCAAGTATCTTGTTGAGAATTTTTGCATCTATGTTCATTAAGGATATGGGTCTATAGTTTTCTTTTCTGGTTGTGTCTTTACCTGGCTTTGGTATTAGAGTGATGCTGGCTTCATAGAAGGAATTTGGAAGTTCTCCGTCCATTTCTATCTTTTTGAATAAATTAAGTAGTATTGGATGTAGATCTTCTTTAAATGTCTGATAGAATTCTGCTGTAAATCATCTGGTCCTGGACTTTTTTAGTTCAGAGGTTTTGCATTACTGTTTCAATTTCTTTTTGTGTTATATGTCTATTTAAGCTGTTAATCTCTTCTTGGTTTAGTTTTGGTGGTTCCTGTGCTTTTAGGTACCCGTCCTTTTCTTTTAGGGTTTCAAATTTAGTGGCCTATAGGTTTTTAAAGTATTCCCTTATAATGTTCTCGATCTCTATTGTGATGTTGCCCTTTCATCTCTGATTTTGTTGATTTGGAGGTGCTCTTTCTTTCTTTTGGTTAACTGGGCTAGAGGTCTGTCAATCTTGATTATCTTTTCAAAGAACCAGCTCTTGGATTTGCTGATTCTTGTATTGTTCTCTTCTTTCAATTTCATTAATTTCTGCCCTGATTTTTGTTATTTCTTCTTGTCTGCTTGGTTTGGGTTTCGTTTGCTGTTGCTTTTCAAGTGTCTTGAGTTGCAATGTTAAGTCATTTATCTGTGTTCTTTCCGATTTTTTGATGTAGGCACTTAGAGCTATAAACTTCCCTCCAAGGACTGCTTTCAGCATGTCCCAGAGGTTAATAATTATAGCGTTTATACTGAGTACAATATTGTATAACTATAATAATTCGACTGTAAACCTAGGGATTTGCGGCTAATTTTGAAAAAGATGCATCTTAGCTCAGAAAGTTGTTATTGAATATGTCAATGCTTTGTAATGAAATGCTTCTTCTAGGTATGTGGTCATTAAATGAATAATTTTAAAAAATTAAAAAAATTAAGATGCTGAAGGAAGAAATGGAAGAAGATTCCAGATGATGGAAAGGCCCCCCTACGGAGATCATGGATTGGTAGGATTAATATTTTGAAAATGGCCATTTAAACAAAAAGCAATCTACAAATTCAATGCAATATCCATTAAAATTACAAAAAAAGTCTTCACAGAAATTGAAAAACATAATCTCAACTTTCATATGGAAATATAACTAATCCAGGACAGCCAAAATAATTCTAAAGAAAAAGAACTGCTGGAGGCATTACCATCCCTGGTCTCAACTTGCACTACAGAGCTATAGTAATAAAAACAGCATGGCATAAATACAGACATATTGATCAGTGGAATAAAATTAAGGACTGAGGTTTCAGTACAAGCATTTAGAGTCAGCTGATTTTTGACAAAGGAGCCAAAAAATTACACATTGGAGAAAATGCAGCATATTCAAAAAATTGTGCTGATAAAACAGGATAACATCATGTAGAATAATAGATGATCTCTATATTTTACCATTCACAAAACTCAACTCAAAATGGATCAAGGTCCTCAACATAAGGCCTCATACCTTAAATCATATAGAGTAGAAAATAGGGAATGCATTGAAACTTCGAGGCATAGGAAAGGGTTTCTGAAAAGGACTCCTGCAACACAGACATTAAGTCTAAGAACTGTCAAATAGGACCTCATAGAACTAAAAAGCTTCTGCACAACAAAGGGTACTATCGTTCAAATGAAAAGGCAACCTACAGGAAGGGAAAAGACTCTTTATGCTATACCTGTGACAGAGGATTAGTATTTAGAATAGATGAACTCAAAATCTGTATTAAAAAAGCAACTGAATTAACAAAATTGGGGCAAGAAGATAAATAGGGAGTTCTTCAAAGAGGAAGTAAAAATGGCTAATAAATACTTTAAAACTTGTTCAGCATCTTTAGCTATCAAAGAACAGTATATTAAAAGTACTTTTAGATGTCATCTTTCCACACTCAGAATAAGATCCAAAAAGCAAGCAATGACAAGGCTTGCCAAGGAGGTGAACAATCGGGAGCACAATCATTGCTAGTGAAGTGCAAATTGGTGCAGTCATTTTGGTGTTTTGAAAAATGCATCGCTCATAGGCTCCAAGTATTTGGACACTTGGTCTCCAATTTGTGGTACTCTTTAGAAAAAGTTATGGAAAATTTAGGAGGTATGGTCATGCTGGAACAAGCATATCACTAGGGGCAGGCTTTGGGAATTAAGTCTTGTCAGAGTTGCAGTCTCTCTCTGCTTCCTGCGTCTGCTTGAAGATGTGATCACATCACTTTCTCTCCCCACCATTATGAACTCTAATCCCACTGGACTCGCAAGCCAAATAAGCTCTTCCTTCTATATGTTGCCAGCAACATATTTCCATATATGGAAATATAACTAATACAGTCACTATGGTAGTCAGTGTAGCGAATCCTCAAAAACCTAGAAATTGATCTACCATTTGATTCAGTCATACCACCCTTGCACATATAATTGGAAGACTCTATGAACTACTACAGAAATATCTACTCTTTCATGTCCAGAGGAAAGATAACAGACAATAAAGCCTTTAGCAAAAGTCATAGGGAAATCTACCATTATGGAAGCTACATAAATAATATACACATACAACATAAAAAGAGACTTAAAGGCCAGGCCTGGTGGCGCATGCCTTTAATCCCAGCACTCAGGAGGCAGAGGCTGGAGGATCACTGCGAGATTGAGGCCAACTTGGTCTGCATAGCAAGTTCCAGGCCAGCTGAGGTTACAAGGAGACCATGTCTCCAAAAGACCAAGGTGGGGGAGGGAGGGACAGAGGGAGGGAGGGAGGGAGAGGGAGGGAGAGAGAAGGAGAGAGAGAGAGAGAGAGAGAGAGAGAGAGAGAGAGAGAGACACTAAAAGGAGTTATCTTGTACCAGATGGAAAATGCACCTACTAGACGTCATAGGCTTGCAAAGTAAAAGCTCAATGGCTCCCTCTTTTGGAGCCATAGACCCTCACACAACATTGGCCATCACAACAGCTATTGGCTAACCACCAGAACTTCACAGTAAGACTTTATTGCTGAAGACAACATACATATGAACTGTAGAACAACCAAGGAGAGATCAAGCTAGTGCTGACTGCTAAGCAGCAGCTCTGTTGTCTAGATTTCATAGTCCTGGAAAGTGCTACACAAGCTACCTAAAGAGAAAATTTAAGACGAACCTTATCCAACCCTGAGTTCTATGAGCTACGACAACTGGCCTAGAAGATATGCCTACTGGTGCAATAGTGATATGAATATTTTAGGAGTAATCAATTACTTTCTAATTGGTTTTAAGGTCTGCTTCATGGGATGGATCCCTTACCTGACACTGATATCAGGTCTAGGAGCATGAGGCTAGACCACCCACAGGCCATAGGAGAAAAACTAATACAACTATTCTGCTTAATTGATATAGCATTAAACTGATTTCTAATGGATTATTCTTACATCCATAGATTAATTCTTCTCTCAACTTTCAGCAAGTAAGGTTCTTTGTACATCAGACTGTGGTTAAAACAGAGGACTGCAATGAGCCACGGTGCAGAGAATAAGAGGCTGCAGACTGCATATTACTGAATTGGACACCTTTATCAAATTTCTGCCACTTGGGGATCAGGAATCATTGCAGAAGAGAGGGTGGAAAGACTGTAAGAGCCAGAGGAGGTGGGTGACCACAAGGAAATAGTCTTCCAGACAGCTGATCAGTTACTCAAATGAACTCAAAGCAATGCTGACACCATGGGCAAGTCCCATGTAAACTCAATCAACCTAAAGTCCCAACAAAGTCTTGGGGATGTGGATAAGAAATACCAGTCCTACCCAAGGGACTACTGGCACAGATGACTGCTGGGAAGGGGAGATTCAATTTCATGTAAGGGTGAGGAGTCTCCAGAAATTGACCAGTCTCATGTTGATGAACTCAGACCAAAGGGCATTTGGGAACACAAACTTCACTCTATAGGCTTTTATCTATACATCTCTCTCTCTCTTTCTCATGTATATGTATGTGTGTGTATATGTGTGTGTGTGTGTGTGTGTGTGTGTGTGTATGTGTATTTGGTGGAGAGTTAAAAAAATAGAGGGGCACAGATATAAGGGGAAAACTAAATACAATCAAACTATACTGTATGAAATCACAAAAATAAAAATTATAAATGACACAAATTAATAAAAAGAATTCTGAACATGCCTTTTTCTGTTTATTTTTCTTTACTTTCCTTGGTTGTCTTCATGGAGGAAAAGGAGGGCCCTTGTAATCCTATAACTTCAGAACCTCACCTCCTCACACTAAAAGTTTCCTGGCTGGCAAGGCAGACTTGCAAAGTTCAGGAGTGACAGTGGAGATGATATATTTTATTAGCCTTATAATATCTTTCTCCATTGCAGGTACGATGCCTGATGACCTTGAACTCATATGGTAGAAGGAGAGAACAGACTCCCTCAAGTCCTATGACCAACAACATTTACGGTGGCACATGCCTTCCACACCATACAAAACTAAATAAATTTAAAATAAAATAAATTTTAAAAAGATTCTTCCCCTGATACACCGAGAGAAAAATGCACTGAATCTAGTGGGTCCACGAGGTACTTTGTGAATAAAATTAAAACTGAATAGACCAACTAGATAACCTGTGTTGCCAGTTCTGATTCTGCAGTGATGTTTCTTGGGTGAGTCTCCTTGTGCTTCATGGGACAAGACCTTCCCTCCTGAAAAACAAGAATTGAAAATAGGCTAATTTAGTTAAACAAAGTAGGGTGATAGAAAACCCATTTTGAATTATTCCCATTAAGAATCTGATACCACTTCAACACACATTGAAAATTAAACACAAAATCCTTTCAACACAAAACAACAGCTGGATTCAGAGACAGACAGATGCTTCTCACAATCAGCGGCTACTACAAAGCTCAATTCTAACAGAAAATTCTGTCTTTATACACCAATGGAAAGTAGTAAAAGATTAAACAAGTAATGTATCTGTGATACATCTGGTCCTTATGTCTTAAATCAGCCATTGGTGAGTGTGTTTGTAGGGAGATCAATATTTCAAGACAGGAAGCAATTTAAGTTGTATCATCATAGGATTATCTGGCAAAGCCTTCAGTGTCCCTATAGCTCCCTAAGCAGGGAATCTCATCTGATGCCTTTGCTCCACTACTTGAAGAAAAGGAAGCTGTTGACACAGGACACAGAGCCCCAGGTTTTGTTTGTCTGAATGTAAGTTAAGACACTGAACTTTTTCCGTCCTTTCTCTTCTTGCTGCTCTTTGCCTTTTGCTACTTTCCTCTTTTTTTCTATTATTGGTTAGCTTAAGCCCAAGATGTTTGAGGTATGAATTTGTGTTGCATGTGGTCACTTCCTGTAGTCCTTCCATGTATAGCACAGAGCCTAAGTCTTTAATATGGACACAGGGCAGCTCTTGACATTAAACAACGTTTCTTTCCTGATACATAGGTTAGGCATCTAAGTCAGCTTCATTCTGTCATTAAAAACCCTTGTGCAGATGATGCTTCAGAGACTAGGCAGAAGATGAACTCTCATGTGGTTCTGACTTTAGAGTTCAATGATTCATGGATTCTCTACATACACCACTTTCGCCCTTAATCAAACATATATCACCTTGCTTTACTGCCTGCATCTGTGTGTGCCTCCAACAAACTTCATAAATTTGTCTTTCATGAGGTCTCTCCCTGGCACATTCTAATAGCAGTAATACTCAGTCACAGTCCTGTTCTATCAGCATTGGGTGTGTCAACTGTAGCACTTGAGAGTGTTTTTATGATGTGTAAGCATATCTAACTCATCAATACTTTGTGTGATAAAGTTTATGGACATTAATCACATGTAGATCACATTTAGACAGTACTCATTCAGTATCTAAAGTCAGAGTAAGATAAAGGTTGATGAAAACACAAAACATATGTCAGTCTTTTAAATGTCAATATATCTACTTCCTCTGCACGGCTGGATATGAACATATTTTATAGACAACCAAACACGTCAGCGCACATTTTTTTATTAATATGTACCTAATGGAAAAGTGCTGGCAAAGTAACAAAAAATTCATAGTCAAAACTTATGTACTTAATCCCCATAGGCAGATCCTATAGTGAAACCTACTCTACCTAAGGGAAGAAATGTCACATATGATTTCCAGAAACATAGTATGACTGTTGGTTGCTAGGAGAACTGTTTCTTCATTAGGACAATGATAGAGGAACTGACATTTAGGTAGGGCAGAATTATGAAGACATAAAGAAGTAAAACTAAACGATGCAAGTGTGAAAATGCATGACCTGTAATTGATAAGTACAGGTAAGATGGGGACACTTAGGGACTGGAAAAGTGTTCCTGGGTGAACTTACAGGTCACGCAGTAATATGTATAATGCACTGAGTAGCAGTTAAGAACAAATTCCATTGCCAGTATTTTGCAACATGCTTACAGTTTCTTCAATATTTTAATTGAATGCAGAATGTCATACAATGTAGTTTGATGATATTTAGCCCTCCCCCATCCTTCTCACACCCCACCCAATTTCATGTCCTCCATTATTATCTGTTATTTTCTTTTGTTATTTTGTTCTTTCTTTCTCTTCTTTTTTCCTTTCTTTTTCTTTCTTCTTCATTTTACATTTTTGTTATTAAAGGCCTCTTATTCCATTCCATGCCTCCCACAGGCTCCTGAGTATGGTTCCATGCCCTGGAGCCTGGTAAACATACAAGACATCACACTAGTAAGGAAAACTGACCCTCCATTTCCTACCTTCTCTCAACTGTAAATAGATCTTCAGCTAGGGCTGAGAATTCATGCCCACCACTCCCATTCATTCTGGGCCCCTGTCTGACTGGTTTCTACAAGTCTTGTGTACATTGTCATAAGTACTGTAGGTTTATATGTGCAACTATCCCGTGGTGTCCAGACAACACAGCTTCCTTATATTCATCTACCACCACTGGCTCTTAAAATCTTTCCATCTTCTCTTGCACAATGATCCCTGAGCCTTGGGAGGAGAAGATGGGGTATAAGTGTTCCATTAAGGACTGAGTACTCCACAGTCTCTTATTCTCTGTATATTGGCCAGTTGTGAGTCTCTGTTAATCACCATCTGCTTTAAGAACTGTCTGTGGTGAGAGAGATACACTAATCTGTGAGTACAACAATAAATTATTGTGGTTCAGTTTAATACTACATCTAATTAGCGGAATGGAAGTAGTGCTTCTTTCCTATGGGCTGTGATACATTAGCTAGCAAATGAAATGCACACCAATCACACAGGAAACCTGGGATGCACACCATTGGGCACCTGAGTTATGGTATAGGATGGAGCTTGAGCACATCTATGTTATAATGTTTCTAGTCACTCTATCACATATCTTCCCTAGCACTAAGACAAATTTAGTTTCCTTATGAGATCTGTAAATGAACCTACACCTGAGGTTATATTTTTAAAAGCAATTATGGTAACAAAAATATGTGTATTTAAGACAACCTCACTACTTACTTATGTCCATGGAAATGAACTCAAAATCTCAATATTAAAGTTCTCACATTGGGATATTCCCAGTAATCATCAGGAAGAATATTGCCATGTACAGAGATCAGCATTTGAGGACAAATATGAATTTTGAATTTCAACTCTATGGTACAGTTGGAGATACTGCATTAATGAAGATAAGAGTTCCTAAGATTATCTACTTTAAATATTGGTATTGGGAAAAAACTCAAAATCTCAATATTAAAGTTCTCACATTGGGATATTCCCAGTAATCATCAGGAAGAATATTGCCATGTACAGAGATCAGCATTTGAGGACAAATATGAATTTTGAATTTCAACTCTATGGTACAGTTGGAGATACTGCATTAATGAAGATAAGAGTTCCTAAGATTATCTACTTTAAATATTGGTATTGGGAAAAATATAGTAGACCACTGTATTTCAGTATTTCAGAAAAGAAATAATTTAATATGGCTGTCTGAAGAATTCAGTCAATCCACTAACATTTCTACATTTGTTATCCATCTTATTCTGTCCAGAACTCTGTAGCGCTGAGAGTTTCATCCTGTTGAATGTTGAATGAGAAATAACATTACTTTCTTCTACTGCTAGGAGGGTAAGAATGCTTATTTCAACTTCCCAAGCCCACAGTGAAATGAAATAATACAACTCTTCAATGAACAAAGAGAAGGTAGCCCATTTTCAAGTTAGAATTCTGCAATAGCTTGCATATTTCTGTACCTCTGAAATTCATGTGTAAATATTAACGCCCAAGGTGAAGGAATTAGGAAGCACAGCTACTCAGAAACTGAAAGGCCACAAGGATGCCACACTCAAGATGGAGTTGTGTTCTTGTTTTAGTCTTCTTCCTTAAATCAGAATAACCAGACCAGCACATCTAGTTAAACATGGCATTCAAATATTTCACGTTGGTTTCACTATAACTCATCCATGTTTGACTTCAATGAAGATGTTCCATTTGGAACTGGATTCTTAAAATATTGCTGCACATTGAGAATGGCCTTTGTAGAAGGGCAGAATGACTGCAAACCACTGCCATGCCTGTGTAAAAACAATACACTATGATTTTCTGTTTACTTTTAACTGTAACATATTCCTGCTTTCAAAAGCAAGAATAGGGGCTGGAGAGATGGCTCAGTGGTTAAGAGCACTTACTGCTCTTGCAGAGGACCCGGGTTTGATTCCCAGTGCCCACATGGAGACTACGAACCATCCTTAACTCCAGTTCTAGGGGAATTCGAAGCCTTCTTCTGACTTCCGTGGCATTGCATGACATGGGTGCACTCACATACATGCAGGCAATACACTTGTACATATAAAACACAAATAACAAATAAAATATTTTTTAAAAAGAAGCAAGATTAAAGCTTTCAAGGTTTTAAATAAGCCAGGTATTGTGGTTTAGACCTGAAATCCTAACACTTGGAAGACTGCAGTAGGAGGATAAGCATGAATCTGGTGCTGGATTGGGATAAAATACAACAGCAACAAATCTGGGACTGCCTGGGTACATTAACGTGATTTGATAGGCCTTAGCATATATGGCAGAATGAATGAAATCCAGGGGAGGGGCTGTGGGGTGTGTGTGAAGGAGAAGTATAAAGATGAATAAGATGTTTTGTATGAAATGTACAAAAGTTCAATAAAATACATATTAAAATAAATAAAAATGTAAAAGAAAGAAAAAAATTAAAGGCAGAATGTTTATCCAACATTCATTGTGAGGTCTTTTCATTTGAAGCGCTGACTTTGAGAATTACTATAACTTCATTACCACTAGGAATAACTTGAAGATACTTCACAAAATAGATTAACTATATATCTAAGGACACTTCCTAAAATATTTTTTAAAACTAAAATATTTGATGCAAATGCATAACTAGGCAACTTGAAATTAGAGCATCAGTAATATCCCTGGCAGGTACAGAAGCTTAGTCCTCCTGTGACCTGAAGAGCAGATGGAATAACCACTAGAATAAGAATGCTAATAATGCAGTAGAGGAAGAGAAGAGAAGCCACTTAGAAGCTGCTTAGAAGCATAAATGAAGCCCTGGCTGAATCTTTCTAGGGAACTATCTTAGCACATGGAAAGGGTGTGACACACTTATCATTGCATCACATTTCAGAAAATAAGAGTCAGTGCCTGAGAATGAATTCTTGTATGTAGCTGAGCATTCTGAACCCACTTGTGGGAGATAATCATAGCATGTGAGCTAAGTTTGCTCGGGCATCTGTGTCCCAAGCATGTGCCTCTGTGTCTCTCCAGTAATCTTTATTTACAATATAAATTCACCATGTTCTCAACTCCGAAATATATTATCATGCAATCTAAAAGGAGAACCTTATACAAATAACCAAGATGTTAGGTTGACCCTAGCACAAAGCAAATGTATGCATATATAAACCCAATAAAATGTCATCCAGACCAGGAAGGCATTCTGCATTTTGCATGGAGAAAGAGGAGGCAGGGGACTATCAGATGAGGCTGTGTACATGCACGCCATTGTTTGGCCACTTGTCTCATAAATGATATTTAGCCAGTTGGGCTATGTTTGCTTACTAAATTAATAGACTTATTTTACATTATTGTTAACATTGCCTAGCATGTTTGTTAATGTTTCTATATTGTTTCTGGAGATAAATCACAACTCAGTTCACATTACTCACACTTTAAATTAAAGTGTTATAGCATGGTAAACATGAGAATTTATGTCTAAGAGGAAAAAACATAATTCTTCTGAATTCCTTTGGAAACTGTTGTGGTTGCAGAAACATAACTCTCACCTCAAAGGAGAGAAAAGTTTATTCTGAAGCCAAATATAAGTGATGGCCTAGGACCATGTTCCAGCATGGTAACAGTTGCCTTACATTTTTATAGTAAAAGAACAAAGAAAAGTCATAAATCAAGACACTTTTCAAATACAGTGGAGGAGACATTCAGTAGGCAGCAGCAAAGCAAGGGTTTCTTTAACCATATGTCTCAGATGTTATCTGATGACATTCTTAGCCTTTTGATTGGTGAGACCAGTGGTCTGCTAGAATAATACATTCTAAAAGGTTTTTATCTGTTAGTCACAGGATTTTACATCAGAAACAGAGGCTGGTAAGGAGTGGCTGTTTAGGGGGCTAAAGATGGCCTGAGATAAATGGTAATTAGGCTCTGGACCTGAAACATTCCAAACTCTCCACATTCTCTGGAGTGATAATCAGTTGGTCAGCCCTACAGGAAGCTCAGTCAAGGTACAGGAGTTCTTTGGGGAACTTTTCTTTCACACTGTCAACCATTTTTGCTTTGTCTAGAGGCAAATCTACTCCTGAAAACTACCACAGTAACAAAATCAAAAAGTGAGCCCATTCAGATGCTGTGAGGGAGCACAGCCTAGAATGACAATGGACTCACTTCCCACAGAGCATGACTTGCATAAGAATTGTCAATCACAGATCAGTAACAGCTCACCGGGGGCACCACAAGACACTAGGAGTGTACCTATGAGTGCAAACTGGGACATTTTAATCTCTGCAAAATTGTTTTAGCATTAAAAATCTGGCATAACGTACTACGTGCAGCTCTAGGGTTTGACTTCTGCACATTTTTTCCTCTCTAATTTCCCTGGACAATGTTTTGCTGATTAAGAGGCTCCATTTGGTCAGGTGTTTATAAGCAGGGACAATGGAAGACAACTGAGCAAGTGTACCAGTAGTAGACAATTCAGAAAACATCAAGTGTACCAGTGAGAGCCATTGCAGATAACTGAGTAAGAATGCCAGCAGTTCACACTGAAGGCAAATGAGCCAGGATGCCAGCAGCAAACATAAGCAATGACTTGTTTCTTTTTATTTCTGTAGCCCCTTAAGAAAAACATCTGCTATTTATAGGTGTCAAAAATATAGCAAAACACATTTACATGGAGACCTAACTCTAACCACATAAATAAAAATTAAAACCCATGTCCAAAATCTTTAACTTACGATATGATTTTTGACAATATCAGCAGGAAAATGAGATGATGTACATGCTTTGCTTGCTCAGAATGATTCAATATTGTAATATAATTATCCAAGCAAGCTGTTTTTAAGGTAAATTAAATATGCCTGAAACTGCTAGTACAATATGGTATTAAACCATTGGGGATCAATTCAAGTTTTCTAAGACTATCAAAAAATTAAAAAAAAGAAAAAAAAAAGAAGAATACAGAGGGCTAAGGACATTTTGCTGTTATCATGCCTGGCCTGAATAAAAGATGTTCAGGTATTGGAACAAATCTACAAAGATACTAAAATAATAAACATGCCATTGACTTCTAAGTCTTTGGTCAAAATATATTTTGAGATAATTTTAAAGCTGCAGAGCAACTCTTTAAAAGAAGAAACTAATTCGGACAGCTCAGATGTGGTTTAACAATGGCCCATGGCATACTTAATCTTGATTATATGTAATCATGATAAACATTCAAGAAGTCAGCATTAAGGTTTCTCAAAGTGTTTAGCAAGAATATTGACAAGAGACATTCTAATCAGTGCATCAAATAATCTAAGTTCCAGGACCCTTGTCACAGATCTGCTGATTAATGTGCATACTTGAACCCAGGACATTTTACTCACCAGTCTGGGGATGTTTAATCATACCCAAGTTAGAAAACTATTGCTTCACCATTTATTGACATGGAATCTGTATGATAAAATCACATATCAAATGGCTATGTTAGAAAAAGTAATGCTACTATTCAAATGTAGGTTGTGGGCAAGTTCCACATTCTCCCATTATTCAGTCTAAGCTGTGGCCAACAGGAATCAATCAACACTGTCTATCCACTGAGAAACTGCTGTGTAGCCCTCACTTCTTGCTGAGGATGGACAATGATCATCGGCAGGATGCAGACATGGTCATCTCATTTAAGGCTGTCAAGAATAAAATTAAGGTGTTCAAAAACTCAATTTATGGTTTTATATAAGAAGTAGTGTTGATTAAATCACTTTTGAGAGGATTTGCATCAAAAGCATATGTCGATATTCCATAAAACATCTTAAATTATACAGAATATTTCATGGAGATCAAAAATATATTTTAATTATTTAAAAGTTAAATTATGGCTCTGGAGAGATAACTCAGTAAAAGCACTGACTGCTCTTGCAGAGTATCCAGGTTCAGTTTCTAGCACCCACATAGCTCATAACCATTTGAAACATCAGTTCCGGGGAATTGGATGCCCTTTTCTGGTCTGCTCAGGCAGTGCATATACATGGCAAACTTACATGCTGCTAAAATATTCATTAGCATAAAATAAGAAAAAAATAAATTATTTTCCTTTCTTTTCTGTTTGTACATTCAATAAAACAAGCTTGTTGTGTACTGAGATTGGAAATATTTTTATGTTGCCCTAGTGAAATACATCCCAGTGTTTCTTAATGCTTAACATAAATTAGAATCATCTCACTTTAAAGAACTGCACTGAAGAATACCTACAAAAGATCCCAAACTCTTCCAACACTCTTTGTAAATTATAAGAACTTAGAAAAGTGGCCCTCATGTCAAAGTGACCTTCTACAAAGGAGCTCTAGAATCCTCAGCTCTCATAAATATTTCCTGGGCTCTGGAGTTTGGAATGATCATACTATATTCATTTTCTCTAGTGGAGAACTCAGGTTCCCTCACTTTGTGGTTCCCAATTAACCTGTTTCCCAATATTCTCTGCACTCCATTCTACAGTGCTCTGATTTATTCTCTGCGCATGAAACTCTGCCCCCATCGTCAAAGATCAATCCGTCTTTCAGACCACTGCAGATGCATTCCTCCCTACATTCCTCCTTGAACTCTCTTTCCCTGGAAGTCAGATGCAGAGCACTTGATTTCTAGTTTTGGTTAACTTTATGACCTAAATTGGATAGCTGAGGTAGACGTTTCAATATACGAAGATCCAATGGAAAGCATACTGAGAAATTCATTTCTAATGCACTTTGAGAGTAAGCAGAGGTAAAAGAGCTGTGTGATGAACCTGTTTTCCCCTATTCCTCACTCCTTTAGATATTTCTGGATCTTCTCCATGGGCAGTCTCAGAAGACAACTTTCATTTGGTCTTCCAGAATTTTAGGATCAATATTTCATTGCACTTGTTATGAGAAGATAAACCACACCATTCAAGTTCCTAGCTCTCATAATGTGGAGGTTAAGAGTCTCCACATTTACTTTTCATGGATGGAGAATGCTATAAAATCATATTTTAAGCTCTTTTTTATTTCCTTAGTTTCATTTTAACCCTTTAGGGCTTGTACAGCTCATAGTTGTGACAAAGAGCATGGTGGTGGTGCTGAGCCCTTGGTTGCCCACCTGTGTCTTCAGAATCTCACAATCACAGTTGTCCTATGAATATGTATATGCTCCTCAATGAAATACCTACCTGATACTGTCTAAGCAACATCTGTGTCCTCACATGGATATTATCATGCTTAGAAAGTAGACAATACACACAGAGAGGACATCTCATGATGGCATGAGCTACCATTGCCAATGTTACGTCCTTCATTTTGAACCACTTCAGGTTAGTCTTACATCTTGAGAGTCACATGCAGCTGATCTCTGGTTTTCTTCCTTCGCTGTCTGAACTGGAGAGCTCTCTGGGTTTCCAGGAGCATTTTCTTGAGGCTTGACAGAGATAGAGAGAGAAAAGAAAACATAAAGATAATTAAAAACATGAAAAATGCATTCTATAAACAGATCAATGTGGATATTGTAACATACAATAAACAAGTATCATATCATAGGGAAAAAATCAAACAGACATTTTCATATAAAATGTTTTTAAAATATGCCTTTAAAACTTCTTATATTTGGGGATGCAGAGATGGCTCAGTGATTAAGAGCATTGGCTGCTCTTGCAAAGGACATGAGTTTGAATCCCAGCACCCTCATTGGGGGTTAACAACTGTCTATAACTCCAGTTCTGGGGGATTCAATGCCCTCTAATGGCCCCTGTGTGCATTGTACACAAGTGGTGTACTTACATATATTCAGACAAAATGTTCCTACATATAAAATTTTAAAATTTCTATATTTGAGATTAAGAAAAATAATTTGTGTTCAATTTTGCATAGGACTTTTTTTTCCATTGAAAATGTATATTTCTTATATAAGATTTTAAGAATCTTCAACCTTCAAAAGGCAACAATCCTCCTTATTTTAAACTCTAGTTTATCTGAGACACAATAAATGCATGACTCATGTTGTCAAAAAGGTATATGTTTTACAACACTTCTTAAGTTACCCAGAGGATGATAAGCAGTCCATTGTTTTAAAGCAAGCTGCATACTTCTGGGAACCCTAAACATTTGTAAAACATTCATCTCATTAGAGATACTAAGGAAACAATCTACCAACCTAACCAAATAAACAAACAAAAATACACTCAGCAGAGAAACGTACAATAATGTATGTAGCTGTCACTGTGGGTAGGTCCATGATTATCACTGGAAAGTGTGGGTATGTGTTTCTTGGTCAGAGCTCATTTAAATACAGTGCTGCACTCATCAGTATATGAGTAAACTTTCATAGGAGAGAAAAATGTAAATTCATGAACACTATTTCCAAAATCTGAAGATTTAATTGCAATGGATCACAGAGGGGAAGGAATGAGGATTCTTGCCACTGGGGGTCCAAGCATCCTAAGATTAGAACAGACATTGTTTAGCATCCTAAGGACTCAGCCAAGTTCTTCAACTGGTCTGCATGGTATTCAAATAGTTCTCCATAAGTTGCTGCATTCCTTAAAAAGGGATCATGCTGAGAACACAGTATCCTCATAAAATACTGAAAAAAATACTTCAGTCTGCTAGAATATTTAAAGCAAGAGAGACTAATAAGACTGGTGGGATATTAGCAAAATCAGAGGACATAAAGCACTCAAGTTCACTAAAACACTCTTTCTACTAATTCAGCAATATACTTGGATTTGGCTAAAATAATAATCAACTAATTAATTTCTTTTCATATTGAACTTAACTTTATTGATTGAAGTCTAGAAGACATTGATTTTTGCTCTTTGTTTACTCCATGTTCTTATACTGGGCTTCCTTTGTTTAGAATGCTTAGCATAGATCCCCTCCCACCCCTCACCCTGAAACTTTTGTATTTTCGCAAGGATTAGGAAAGATAAAGAGAAAAAAGAATGATACTCTTTTCCAATATGTTAAATCTCTTCCATAAACATTAAGACAGAAATTTGCCAATTAATCAATCATTGTTCTTGGTTAGATGTCTTTGGAAGATGTAAACAGGAGAAGATGCTGTTTTATCAACATAGTATGCAAAATTCAGTTAATTGGTAGCACATATTAATATAAAGCAAATTAAATACAAGGAGACATAGATCAGTATATGTTTTGAAAGGATTTGAAGCATTTGCTGCAATACAAAAAGCAGTAGAAAAAGTTGTTAAAATATAACGGGATAATTAACACAAGAATGTGGAGGGCCTTTTTTAAGCAAAGACACAGAGAAAGGAGAGTGTTAGCCTATTTAATCAGGCAGGGATATCATGAGGAAGGATGCACAGGCCCACAAAGTTTGCACTTAATGTAGTATCCAAAGTGTGCTCCTGTATTTTAAAACAGAGTTTGAGACTGGTGGAAATCTGTCAGCATGGTGTAGCAACAGTGTGGATCCAAAAATATAGAAGGAAATTAGTGTGGAAAAATCAACAATGAAGCAAATTAAAACAGCCAAGTTGGTAGGAACCAAGTCTGAGATGCATTTTTACTACTCAGACCATCAGTGTGATCGCAGATGTCATAAATTAAAAACCGAAGATAGAACTGATGGAATCGGAAGACTACCACAGAAATAGAGAAGAAGGAAGGCAAGTTTGTAGCAAGAAACGTGATTTTATATTGTGAGTAGAGAGGCTTAAGCTCCTGGGGCTTTTAAATAGACATTGGCTACTAGATAGCAGTCCTAGGAAAAACAGTCTTAACAGAGTCAACAGCTGTTTATTCTAGATAAAATCCCCTGAGCATCCAGCAGCTGCCTCCCATTACCTTCCACTTACAGATGAATTACACAACTTTAAAATAATAGAGGAAATAATAACATGACTGAAGGTTATTCTCCCCTGACAGTCACAGCAAGAAACACAGATGCAAAGACTAGAATAAATTGAGATGTTAACAATAACTGCAATTTTCCTATATTTTTGCATTTTCCTTTAGTTTTCCTGTATTTTGAGATGAACAATCAGATAACTGAATGTATAGTCTCAAAATTGCATTATAAATTTATTTTAGTGTTTGTGGCATTAACTATACAGATGCAATAACCATTTTGACTTCTCAAATATTGCTTCAATGTTTGTCAGTGATTACACACATGCATTCTGAACACATCTACATTTATAGTGCACATGATCATTGTTTTCTATTCACAAATATTATAAAGACAATGCTGCTACCTATATATGTTTAATCTATGAAATGTGGAGGTTTAAAAATTCAAGCAGCAGATTTGGGGTTGTCTCCGGTGGTTGAAGGTGCTGGCAGTTTCAATTATGGATTGCATGTTTCATTGTGATGAACCTTAACTCATTTGGTACCAGATTGCTTGAGGGAAAACCACATATTCTATCCTCAGCTTAAACATCTTGACTCCCCTAACAGATGTCAGGCTCCAAGGGAGACTTTTTTTATTCATCATCACATCTTAGGAAGAGAGTACAGATGTTACAATCATCTAATTTTGTTTGCTATTTTCTTTCATTATTTATTATTTATACTCAGAATAAAGCAATGATGAAAGGTCAGCTGAATCCTAAAATAGACACATACATGGATGAAGAAATTATTCCAGTATGAATCAGAACAATTCAAAAGGAATTTAAATAACTTTTAGCAATCTTATGAGTAAACACTCATTTATGCATAGCTATGTATTCTAATGGCATTTCAATTCAAATATAGAAAAATTAATTTTTCATATTGAGAATTCCCACTTGCTCCTAAAGAATGATTCTTCATTCTTTCCATTTTTCTAATAGTCCATAAAGGATTATCTTCCCATCATGGCATGGAATATCCTACATATTTAACATTCCAAATAGTGAACTCTTTAAGCCCATTCCTTAGAAGCTTCATCACGTCAACATAACTGGCCAGCTTAAGTAAATTCTACACATGGCTAGTTATGCTTATATTGTGGAAGGCTTTGTCAGGTTTTGCACTAAAATATTTATTTCTGTTTAATGTGTTGAATCTAGAGCCACCTGTTTTCCCCTGTCCCAAGCTTGTTCTTGAAGCTTTCTCTGAATTATGAGATCCTGCCGTCCTCCAAAAAAAAAAAAAAAAAATCCCCTTTATTCAATTTGATTGAAGTCTGTATTTATATTACTAGTGAGGTATGAATGATTATCCATTAACCTGAAACTAACAACACAATGAAGTTCATTCAGTAGATGTTCACAGGGGAAAGACAGGTGGTAAAGCAAAACCAGGTTGCAGTATAACTACAATTTGTCTAAATGCTCATGTTTGCCTAATGATATCTTTTTTTCATTATGATATTTTATATTTTTTAAATATTCCATGACTTTGAAGTTGAGGTGGATAATAGGAAAATTAACAAGTAAAAGGTTTCATTAACTTTCCATCCTTCATCTCTCTACCATCTGTTTATCACATATCTACAAATGCCATCTTTGTATTATCTACAAATCACTTGTTCATTCATCATCCACCTATCTATATATCTTTCATCTACATATCTCTCATGTAACTATAAGTAGACCTATGCACATCTATCTTATCTAGCCATGACCTATCATCTATCTATCTATCTATCTATCTATCTATCTATCTATCATCTGTCTATCTTCTACATATCTATCATCTATCTACCATCTCTCTGCCTATAATCTATATCTACCTCTATCTATCCATCATCTATCATCTATCTATATATCATCTATCTATTATCTATCTATCATCTATCTCTTAGGTCTCTGCAATCTGCCTGGACTCTAACTCTCTCAATGGTCCACCCATCTTTCAACTATCTATCTTTAAATGTATCATCTATATTATCTAAATATCCATCATCTATGTGCCATTTATCTATGATCTATATTTCCATCTGTGATCTGCTAAAGACTCATTTGCTTGAACATTTGGTTTCTAGCTGATGAATCTTTTGAAAAATATGTATATTTTGTTATCATTTCTTATATACAGAACTTAAAATATGTGTTCCTCTTTACACATATGCCATCTCAGTCAGTGAGATTATTGCAAGATCATTTATTGTACAGAATTAAAGAAATAAAGGTTAAAATCTTAAGGTCTGTAATTCTGGAATGTTAGAAGTCACAAACATGAAGACTGAGCTGATGTGCAAATGCCTGAAAAAGAAATAATCTTTCTGAGATTAATTGTAGCTTATTTTCTAGCTGAGGTTTTGAGTTTTAGAACCTTTCAGACAAAGGGCCAATCTGGTAAACACAGGGGCACTTGGGCCTTGTGGGTCTATACCTGGCTGTCCTGCTTGTATCTTTACGCTCTGCTTCCTGATCTACAAATTGTGAGGCACTCCAGCTGCAAATGTCTATCATAAACTCTACCATGCCCTCTAAGCCATGATGGACTACACTCATCAAAACTGGGAGT